GAGTGATAGTCTGCTTTGACTTTTGCCACAGGTACCTTGAGGGCAGTGGTTGGTGGTCCCCACCACCTCAGGGTATCAGTTGTCGGGCCGTCGTTGATGCTTAACCACAGCCGGGGTTAAGGTGGATTATCACTTACAGTGTAATTAGTTAGGGGATTCTGCAGAGTGTTGAGGGTTCAGCCTCCTGATGAGTCGGGGAAACTCTAACGAAACGGTTTGCCGCAGCCCCTCGTTTGTTGTCCTCTTCTCCCCTTCCCTCTCTGCCTACAGTTTACCGGGCAGCTCTGTTTGACTATATAGTATATATATTTCTATATTTTGTGTGTGTCATGCTAGTCTTCTCTGCATCGTTGCAATTTTAATGAATGTCCCGAAGGACAGCACAGTTTGGTTTGGAAACAAGCAATGAAAAAGAAATGGCCACAGAGTACTAGAGGGATTTATGCAGAATAGACAAGGCTTAGCTTGTTAGGGCGGAGGGGGGGGCCTGGGGGAGGAAGGGGAGCGGTTCGAATCTTCGTTGGAAACGGATTGAAGTGAAGGGTTGGGAACTTGGGAGCTGATGGGACAATTGAAACAACCTACAAACAGTCTAGAGCAGACCCCATCGACTATGCCTAGCCCGTAACAGCCCTGGGATTGTCAAACTAAGTAATACTAAGTAATAGACATAGTCGTAGCTCAGTGGATCGTCCCTTGGACTATGCCTTACTAAGTAATACCAAACCAAGAAGAACAGGAGCGTCTTCCCCCGAACTTAACGCACCCTCATTTTGGCGGTACCTGACTGGAAATATAGCTTGTATACATTCACTACTAGGTTCGATGGCCGACAGCAGGCGTAGCCCATACAGGCCATTTGCAGCTCTGGAAGGGACGTTCTTGCATCTTGCAGGGTTTTTCTTGTGGCTTTCCCTTAGTACGGGAAGTTTATCAGTAATGTACGGGACTACGCCTGTTGTCGATGCATAATCCTTGTGATATTGATTCATGGGTTGTTGCGCCAGGCGACTGTCGTCAATGCCAAGTACTGCGCCTTAAATCACCAGTACTTGGCCCATACATCGGCCGCGGGGCATTGTCGTTAACGCCCTGCAACTTCCAGAGGCTCGGGGTACCGGCCCTCAAAGGCTGGCACCGCTGCCAAAACATTTTTTTCTTGTTGCGCTGGTGGGTCGGCGCGCTGCGCCTTAAACCACCAGTACTTGGCCCATACATCGGTCGCGGGGCGTTGTCGTTAACCCCCCGCAAAAAAATGTCAACTGGTGAAAATTTTCAAAAAAGTGTTTGCGTGCTGAAAATGAGCGAAAGGAATCTCGTCACAACAGAGTCTGCTGCTGCTCTTGGACGCCAAGAAATGTTTAGAACTTTTTTTTTTTTTTTGTTTTTTAGAACTTTATATAGTGTGAGCACTGTGAGGCGTTTTTTTTTTCTTTATACTTTTGCAGCAACACTTCATGCAAACCTGTAATGCAAGCCACCAGCAAGTGGTGACCCCTCTTATGACCCCTCTTGACCCCCTTATCACCCCTCTTAGGACCCCTCTTATAACTCTTCCAGCAAGTGTTGACCCCTCTGATGGCCCCTCCTCTTATGACTCTTCATGCAAGTGAGACCCCTCTTATGACACCTCTTGTAACTTTTCCACCAAGTGATGACCCCTCTTATGACCCCTCTTATAACTCTTCCAGCGAGTGATAACCCCGCTTATAACTCTTCCACCAAGTCATGACCCCCTCTTCTAATTATCTCTCTTCCAGCAAATGATGACCCCTCGTTTAACTCCTGCACCAAGTAATGACCCCCTTACGACCCACTTCTTACTCTTCCAGCAAGTGATGATCCTTCCACCAAGTTATGACCCCCTCCCTCTTCAGAGGCTTCACCATTTTTATGTGCAGTCACTGCCAGTCAGCAGTTTCATTATGTGCATGGCACCTCACATCTACTGCCTTTGAATGCATGATAGAGGTGTAGACACCTTTTTTTTTTTTTTTTTTTTTTTTTTTAAAACGGGCCCAGTGCCCAACTGGACACTGCTTGTAAGACACGCTGTTCGATCGTCGGCTTGCGGGGTTAACGAGTCGCTTGTGAATGTGTCGGGACTTCTTCCCAACATGTATCTGACCTCCAGCACGTCTAGAGTCAGTCCAAAAAGTCCTATCAGCAGCAGTAGGTGGGGGCTTCAAGTTTCTAGCAGGTTTTCACCCTTCAGCTAACACTCTGTGGGACGTTTTGGCTTCTGATACGATGACAGTTTGAAAATGCAACAGAATTCTGCAAGGCCTTCGCATTGCCTAAGGATGCGGTCGTCAATGTGCTAGAGAACTACGGCAAGCAAAAGGAAGATCCTTACGGGAAGACAGTTTTCCCCGTTCTTTTCAGGTCTCTCTCTCTCTCTCTCTCTCTCTCTCTCTCTCTCTCTCTCTCTCT